ACAATTTATCATTCCCTCATCACTTAGCCTGCTCATAACCCATAGATAGTTTGCTCAAAAACCACAAACAAATTTCAGGCTTAAGAAGCAATTAGACTTCCTCTACTAAGGATGTGCAGTCCAATATTTAACCCAAACTCCTTCAATTTCATGTCAAAAACAATGCTAACAATAAGCAGGGCATAACAACTAACCCAATGTCATGAAATGAGAGCTCTATTACCAAATTTCAGTAGCAAGGAATTTCCTTGTTAATTAAAATCCACAATGGTAAAAGCAAAATCAAGCACAGTAAATAGATATTGAATAACCAAAAACAAATTAAAACCCCCAAACTCAAGCTATCATCGTTTTCAATGTATTGTAAGTAGAAGAAAAACTTCCCCATATGAGTAGTTGAACATTGGAAGGTGAAACTTGGGTTGAATGGCTTCTAATCTCAGTTAGTGTTGAAATGCTTCAGCCTAGGTCATGTAAAAAAAAAAAATTGTAAATAATGAAATCTACACTACCCACATAAAGGATAAAAATAAATAAATAAATAAATAAGAGATCAAAGAAAAGAAAAGAAAATAAAATTTAATGCTTGGGTTGCCTCCCAAGAAGCGCTTATTTATAGTCAATAGCTTGACTGTCCTTGGATGATCAAGTTGGATTATGTAACTCAATGGCCATCACATGCTTGTTGTATCCGCCATCCATGTAGGGTTTCAACAATTGACCATTCACTTTAAATGTGCCCTTTGTATCGTGAGATACTTCCACCACACCATAAGGAAAAATTCTTGTCACCATGAAAGGACCTAACCATCTGGATCTTAATTTCCCTGGAAAAAGTCTAAGCCGAGAGTTATAAAGCAATACTTTATCACCAACTGCAAACTCACGCTTCAAAATGTGTTTGTCATGCCACTTTTTAGTGCGTTCTTTGTAAATTTTGGCATTCTCATAAATTTTGTAAATTAGAATTCATTAATTTTGGTACTTAATTAGTCTACGGTCTTTGTGGGACGATACTCTATTTTCATCATTATATTACTTGAACAAACTAGTACACTTGCTAGAGTGAAATTAGCTCATCAGGAGGTTACAAGACCAAGAGTCTTATAAATAAGATATGTTATTTTGCTCAATGTTGAAGTTCCTCAATATTCTACTACTTTATTACACTACTCTATTTTCTAAATATTCTTAGACAGAGAAGGGTGTCTTAAGTTAGATGACTTTATGAGCAACGTAAATCCATATACTATTATTATAAAGTTGCAGCATCCTAGTGATAACATGCTATTTATATTTCCCATTGCATTGGTAGATTTGCTATTCATAGAGGTGTGAATTGTTTTGAAATAAGTAAGTTTTTTTATCCATAGTTTGGTTATATTTTTTAAGATATTTTTTTTATAAGTTCATTAATTATTGTTTTTATTTCTTTTATTGTCAAGGTACAACAATGATATGACGTGGAGATGAAAAAAACTGTTCGGAAATTAACAAAAACATAAGTGTATTTTTTGCAAAACAAGTTAGAAGTTTTACCTGAAAATGAGATTGGCAGATCAATAAAATCTTTACGCATAAACCATGGTAGTGAATTTAACTCATGGAAATTTACAGACTTTCGTGAGTCTAACGGTATCAAATGGCATCTCATTGCAGCATATACACCCAAACAGAACGATGAATGTGAGAGGACTATGATGCAGTTTCATCCCTTTTTGGCAAGGTTTTGTGATAATGAGAACTTGGTACCACCCTAGGTGTGGCAACGTCCCCCTGACAGTGGGTTTGTTTCATTCTGTGGTCACAATACCTTTCATATTTGTGAATGTGGTGGTAAGCCTCTATTTCAAACTTTTTGGAGAAAAGACACAAATAAGAATATTAATTTTATATTTTTTTAATATAAAAATATTAACTTTATTAACTTCTAAATAAGGATATTAATTTTTAATTTTTTCTATTTAAAAATGTCAATCTAAAAAAAATACATATAAGGATGATAATTTTATAATTTTTTATTTAGAAACATAAATTTAGTTGATTTTAAATTAAAATGGTAAACACTAAATCTTTTTTATTTAATGATACCAATTTTGCTTTTTCTTTTTTTAAAAAAATTTAAAAATGTCGACTTTATGTCTTTCTATATAAAAACACCAGCTTTGCATTTATCATATTAGCATCATTATCTAATTAATTCTTAAATAAAAAAAAATACAAAGTTAAAAGTTTATTATCTTAATTAGAAATTAACAAAATTTATATCTTTAAATGAAAAAAGTTTGCAAAAGTTAACATCTTTATTTATATTCTTTTCTCAATTATTAGTTTATATTTTTTAACCCGAAATCTAAAATTTAAAATTCAAAATAACATAACTCAATAAAATTAATACCTTCAGAGCACGTTTGGAATTCAAGATTAGATTAGATTAGATATATAATTTTAAGGATTGGAGTAGAGTAGACTACATGGGATGAAATATAATTTAATCTAATGACATGTTTGGTTTATTATCGAAATACAAAGATTTGGATAAAAATCTTAATTTATATGGACAAAAATGCCCTTATACAGTAAATATAGTAAATTTTATTTTAGTTACTTTTATAATAATTAATTTATCACGAATGCGAAGTTAATTGAAATTATTTATATTAATTTTTAATTAATAAGATGAAAATGCAACAAAATTTCAATTAATTATCACTAATATTTCCCTTTGTTTTCTAATAAACTAATCGGTCAAAAAAACCAAACTAATTCTCACAAATTGTAATTTCCAAGCGAACCCAAATCACCCAACATGGCAACATGGCAATGTTGCCCTCATCACCATCAAAAGAGGGATGAAAAAAAAAAGAAAAAAAAAACCAAAGCAAGATGCAACACAACAACATCACCATCTTCGATTCATGCATATATGCTTAATTTGACGACGCATGAGTCATGCTACGAGAATTGGTTTCTTTGATTTCAATTTTATTTCTGTAATTTCAATGTTGGATTGCAATGATAGAGAAATTGGGGATTTATGATTTGATTTCCAAAAACCCAAAGCTCAAAATGTAGGAGAACAACATAGAAGCTCCTGGCAACGCCAACACCAAAATGCAGCAAATAAAATACCGGATTCTCATAGATCTGGTTCAGATCTTAAGATTTGATAGAAACTGTTGACAAAGAATCAAGGGGACAGAGGAGCGGGGGGGGCAAGAAGAAGCAAAGGAGGGAGACGAGTTTTGACCAAAGACAGTTTCAAAGGATCAATGCCAACTTCTCAAAAAAAAAAAAA